GCCGGCGCCGCCCATGCTGCCGCGGCCACCGCCCGCAGCGCCCACCGCGCTGCCGTTGCCGCCGCCGCGCGCGCCGCCGGCGCCGCCACTGGCGGTGCCACCCCCACTGCCGCCACCTGTCGGTGGTGGTGGAGCAGGAGCTTGGTTGGCGCCACCAGCGTTGCCGCCACCACCACCGCAGAATACTTTGAGGCCACAGACCTTGCAGACTGAGGAGACTCGTCAACCCAGTCTTGTTTTTGTTGCTGTAGCAATAATAGCAAATAGGTTTTGAGGATTTGTGTCCCTGCATAATTAGTAGGTTAACGTTTTTCTGATTTTGTGTGAGCAAAGTTCTTCGTCTCCTTCTTGCTTTTGCAAGATGCCACCTGGAGCATCATTGCTTAGGAATTGGCAGATGCACTTCTTGCGCGTCTCAGAAGTGCTGTGCAACGGCATGGGGTCTCTTGCCTCAAAGGTCTTTTCACCAGCTCAAGCAGCTCCCAAGCAGCTGGCCAGTGGCCTCCAACCTAATAGCTATGGCCTCCAACCAGTCCTCCAACCTACTTGCGATGGCCTGCAACCTAAGACCCTTGAAACGGCTAGAAAGCCTAATGACTTAATAAGACGAAGCTCCGCAGCTGATTGATTCTCAGAATCTTTTGGCTTGGAAGACCATGCAGCCATGATCCAGTGTCGCCCCCAAGTGCCCACCAGAAATCAGCTAATTAAGTCTCAAATTCCAACCGATTTAATTGGGGTGTCTCAATCCGTGGACATTGCACCTGTTGCATTCCAAGCGATTTCGCCACATTCAGTTCAGGTGGCTCCGATGCACTTGTTCCGCGTCTTGGACGTCAAGGGTCGTGGCTTCTTGTGGCCCAAAGACTTGGCTCGCTTGGCCTGGGCGATGGAGCCGAACCTGGGCTTCCAGGACAAGCAGAGCCGACAGAGCGGTGGCATGCGCCATGTGGCATTGGTGAATCAGCCTCATGGAGCATGTGACATCATGTCTTGCTGACTCACGTTCCCAGGCTTGAAGGGACACCCATGTGTAGAATGCCGCTTGTAGCCGAAACCGCGTTCATTTCTGCGGCATCATCATCAGCATAAATCCTTTCCAAGACCTCCTTGTGACATGTCGTGCACGTGTCGACTCGTCATGAGGAGTTATCGGCCTTCTGGCGGCTGCTGGGCGGTGAGGGTGACCGTTTGCGCCCGCGCCCCTTCTGCCGCGCCCTACAGGTCGCGGTGAGCCCCACGAGTCCGACGTCGAAGCCGTCCAAGCCGACCTGGCGCCAAATCGGGCGAAGCTACGCGGCACAGCCCTCGCGAGCGCTGAGCTTTGCCCCCACGGCGGTCTCTGCGCAACAGGCGCTGGAGGCCTTTGTACAGAAGTGGAAGCCCAAGTCGAAGCTCGCGGCGAAAGCCGGTGCACCTCCCGGTGCACCACCGAGTGCGCCGCCCGCACCCGGCGCGCCGCCCATGGCCGCTTCGGCGGCTCCGGGAGTTAAGGCCACGCCTAAGGCGTCGCTGAAAGGATCTGCCAGCTACAGCAGCGAAGACTTTGAAGAGGATCGCTACAGTGAAGGCACACGTTACACAGACAGTTCGAGTGGCAAAGGCTCCAAGTGACTGCTGCAGGTGAAAAAAGACCATGAATTGTCGAGAACGCAGGGATTTTCAGAGTTTCAGAGTTGAGTGGGGCATGCCAATCTATAGAATATATAGGGTCGGTCATGTGTGAATGGCTGGATGTCTTCGGCCGGTGTCAGAGTCTTTCAGAGGTTGAAGACCACGGTTCGATGTATTTCCGGATGCCAGATGACCACGGAAGAGTTGATGCCTATGACTCATTGGGCAGCACCCAGTCCTGGGCCTCAGAATGCGTTCAATCTGAGCAAGACCGGTTTTTTTCTTGACCCAAAGAAAAACATAATAGCGTCCTTGCTACTAGTAGTAATGGCCTCCAACCTAATAGCGATGGCCTCCACCTAGTAGTTTCTGCCTACTAGTAAGATCTCAAGAACCTGTTTGGTGGCACATGCACCAGAGTTGATCTAGATACGTATATATATATATATATGTGTGTACGTTCTAAGAGGATGAAAGGAGGTCCAAAAGCCCCGAGGAGAGGCTTGGAATGTCTCAAACGCATGGCTTGGCCCAGAGAATCTTTGAAGCTTCTCAGTAGGAAAACCTAGCCCCCGCATAGTATGGAGACTAAGTCGTCTTTAAAAGGATCCTGGTCCTCCTGGTCTTCCGGAACATGGGAGCTGGACCATCCATCACGCTGGGGATTCACAGCTTCCAAGGCGTCGAAGGGCATCCGCCAATGGTTCTCTCCTGCAATCGATCACAGGCGGAAGGGCACTGAGAGTGGCACGGCGCGTATCGGCGCGTCATGCGCGCGCTCGAAGACCTCTCTCCCACATCGGTGCCATGTTTGTTTCCTTGAGCCACTTGAATATTCTCTACATAGGCCACACTCATAAGTCTGAAAAGAATGAAGCACATCGAAGACACCCAGTTTGTAGAAAGACCTAATACAGATTGAGATTGATAAAAGACATAAATGTAAAAAATAGCATCTCCATGTTCGCTGCCAGAATTTTGCACGACCTGTACATGGCCTTTGGCAGGTGATCGCACCTTTGGGGATCCGCATCGCACGGGTGGAGGACAGAAGTGGAGTTTCAACGCCCAAACGGTTTCAATTGAAATGCATCGAAAAAGGTGCGAAGAGAGTGACTATGGTTGGGATAAATGCATGGTTTTGTTACGAATCGTTGTTTCTTGTTTGTAACAAGGTTCGCTACTAGGAACAAGTGCATCGCTACTAGGAACAAGTGCCTTACTAGTAGTAACAAGAAGCTAATAGCTTTATTGTTACTACTAGTAAGGCACTTGTTCCTAGTAGCGATGCACTTGTTCCTACTGGGGTGGCACCTGTTACTACCAGCTTGTTCCACCCCAGTCCTTTGAAGTCCCATCCAGGACCACGACAATCTGGCAGCCGTCTTCGATGCGCAAAGTGAGGCGATCTCAACGGATCCTGTGACATCTCAGTCATTTTCTGGAGGACGTGTTTAAGATAGCTTAAGTATAGATGTAAGATGATGTAAGTATGTAATTAATACATGTAGCATGACTGTCTCACATGTTTGATCAAGATTTGCAAGGTCAGAGCTTCTATAACTCAGTTCGGAGCCCTGACCTTGTCCCACCCAACTCGACCAAACTGGTTCGACAGGTGGTGACCTCTGTGTACGGCGACTTCTTCATCGCTGAGCTCATTGAGGCTCACTGACTGAATTGATCAACATGACTAGCTCGGCTGCTCGTTCTGGGAAGCCAAGCCAGTAGCAGGTCATAGTAAGAAAGCATGGCTCTAAGGGCAAGAAGGCTTGGCATTCCGACCAAACACCGTCAGGTCGAGACCTTTCAAGAAAGCTCGAGACCTTTCAAGAGAGCTCTGTAGATGGTTTCTTTTTAATTTCCCCAAGCCGTGTTGACACGCTCTTCTCACAACGTCATCTTCCAGGCTCAGAACGACGAGAACCGGGCGCTGGTTGCCGAGGTTGGGCAACAAGACGGTTCGGTCATTGGGTCCCGCTCAGCATGCGTTTCCTGATGTGTGCGACAGCTCAAAGGTATTTTGGAGGGAAAGGCCTGGATGTGGTGGGAGAGTTCTACAAGAGCCCCAATAGATTCAAGCCGTTCCTTTTCTCTCTGTAAGCCACCAAGTTCCTTGACCCTGTGGCGGCCCGTGGGGGACTACAAAAAGCTGGCCAGGTAGATGGCCGCGCAGTGGGCCTCATGTGCCTCACTTCAGACGTAGACATCAACGTGCCTTGGCCAAGGGAGATTCCCTCTTAGAATAAAAGACCTGTTGTCCTTTTGTCTTTCTCTTTCGGACCTTCGTTTGTATCGGAAAAAGCGGTTTGTGGCTTGGAAAGAGCACGGAGCTGCCGTGCTTGTCTTGGCGGCGTTCTTTGGACATGTCGGATCGGTCCGTCTGAATTCGCAACGCGTGCCTTCGCATCAGCCGAGGTTCTGGCACAATGCTTTCAGTTGGATCCCTATGACAACCTGCTCAAGGGGCCCTACATGAAGCTTGGGGCCCAAGTAGCCACCGAAAGGAGCACCCAATGATCTTTGCCGGGTGGGCAATGTGGTGTTTCCTTGGAAAAGTTGAAGCAGCAACAACTGAGAACAACAACAACAACTCAGCGCCATGCAAGTGCTTTTCCTCACTCGGTCATTCAGTCGACAACGATGATGTGCAATACCCTGTTACTATTAAAGAGGCTCTCGAAGCTCCACAACAATCTCCATTCATCCCATCTCATCCCCATCAATCGCCTAAGGCGTGTCCGTGAGCATAGCCAGCTGCTGCTGGAGGGACGCGAGGCCTCCCTTTGTGCCTCCGGCGATTTCCTCCAGGCGACCCCGAGCGGTGACCCGATGGAGACGGGTTGGGCAAACCGTTTACCAAACCGCTCGTGGATGGTGGATCCGCCCAAGGAGTCGGGTGGGTCATGCTGGGTTGGAAAAGGCTTCTCGTCGAAAGGCGTTGGTCCGAAGCAAGCGAAGTTGGCTCCGGTCTCCAGAAGCTCCGACATCTCGGTGGAACAGAAGAGTCTCAATATCCTGTTCTTGTTGTGATTTGCACGACAACTGCCACCAAGGTGTTTAGTTCTGACGCTTTCTTGAGCCTGGTCGCGTGCGTCCCCATCCTTTTCCACCCCTGAGTCACCTGAGGTTCCGTTCCTGGCTTCGTCGCCTCGTGAGGTGGCCTTGAGCTCCATGGACATGGACGTTTTGATGGACTCCATTCCCAAGCTCGAGGACGTGGAAAGGTAGCAAGTGAGGTTTGGAGAAAAACCCTCAGAACGGGAAGAAGGTTGGCTCATCGGGGTGGACCATGAATTGGACATCCATCCATGAACCTCCGTGGAGCAACCTGTTAAACTTGACTGTCCAACTGGTGCTCATGAGGTCGTCACGTTTGGTTAACACCGCAACTCTTTTGTTTGTTTCAGAGCGAGCAAGGACGGCCGCATCAATGCGGTACAGCTCCACGGTGCCTTGCAGCCGAGACCTGAGTTCCACACGAAGTTCCACATTGAGGCGGAACAAGAAGCGAACGTAGTAACAGGTGCCACGCTAGTAGTAACAGGTGCCTTACTAGTAGT